GTCAGGTACAATTAGTGTCACATCCTCAGAGTGAAAACACCACTAGTCAAAACAAAACCACATGTCAATCTCATATTTCCCAATTATACTTTGATGTCGACCATGACATTTGCCAATAGTGTTCATAATCCTGCATTCTTCAAAACCGTGTGGTTTAATTTTGTTCGTCAGCCGTCAGCACCGTTTAACTTGTAGCGTTTGGTTTGCTCCAGGTATTTTTTTTATTTGTTTACATATTTCAGTCTACCAAAACAATGTGAGGGGCATTTTAATGGTCTTATTCCGTTTTTATTATTTTGTTGATGTTACGGTATTTTTTTGGTCCGGGGTTTTTATCCTGTGGTATATGTTGACCTGATGTGTTGTTGATGATGTGACCTATACATTTGTTTATTTATTTTCAAGGGTTTATCGACCTTCGCTTTAATTAGCAAATTGGTTCTTGTTGCTGTGACGTCGTAGTGGAGTGTATCATTTGTATGCTTCACAGAAAAATAAATCATACAACTGTTAAAAGTCGATCACGGCTTTATTTGTTCTTTCGCAATAAACCCAGATGTCCTAATCATGTACATGCAAGAAACAAACAGCAAAAAACCACAGTATGACATATTAACAATTTGTCTGTAACTGAAACAAATGCTTGCATGCGCGGGTTTGTGAGAAGGATGTTTATAATTACCTGCCGAAATATTTTGATGTTTACACGTTGGATACCAACCTACATATAATTTATATACTGTAAAGATGCGAATACAACGTAGAATGTATATCATAAATAGTATATAAAAATGTCATTTTCCACTAACAGTCTGTTGATCACTTTTTTGTATTGGACTAGTGTGGTCCAGGTGGATTTTCTGCATACATTGTGGCAGGTGGCGTTTCGGCTATATCGATTACTTCAATATACAAATGTTGCCTAGTGGAATAGATGTTGTTTGTTGACGACTGAAAAGTTTTGTGGTCTTTCGTCATTTCAAAACTATTGAACATCGCGAATTATACAGTATTGCAATTTAAAACACAGCGTGTCATATTCCGTGTCAGGGGATAGATCGTGTTTGTGCATTCTATCATGTCATACACACAATAGTGTCGCTTTTACTGGAGGAAACAATGTATGTGCTCGATGCCATTATGTAGATGGCACGTGTGATTCAATTATCGAACCAATTTTTAATAGTTTAACATTTTATTCACTGTGGATTCAATATCATATTAACTACACCATTTCTTTTTCGCCATAAAATGTGACGTATTGGATTCGTTTTTCGATTATTATTCATGCAGTCAAAATGGTAATTGACTGGACAGAATAAGGCATAGTGTTATGTGTGTCAGAAAACCAGTTAAATACGATAAATGACCGGTAATGACTTCTCCTCACAGTCATTGTTATGGCCCTAATAGGTACAGCGTACGTTTCCTTTTACGTGGAGGTACAAAAAAGGAAATAATTTGTTTGCTGTATTCCAACGACTTGGTCGTCTGAGGCAGCTAATCGGATCCTTTTAGTTCTCAATTTAAACGACATTGAAGAATCTAATATTGATTTTATATCCTTCTTGGCAAGAGTTGAAACCTTTTGATTCTGATCTTACGTTATTATTGCTTTGGTGTCTGACAATGACGTCGTTATTTTATGTATGTGTTGCCGTGGTACAAACTCTAACAAGCCGGCATGATGTCCGTTTGTACTTTAAATGAAGTAGCCTCGTATAAATGTGTTGGACAATGAAAATGATGGTGTCTGATTTGAGTTCAATCATAATGCGCGCCACCTAGCTCCTCGATCCTGCGAAAGCGAGGAGGCGAAAAAGAGGCATGATAAAGCGAGAATACGAGAGAGTAGAATTAAACCCTCTCCTCACGATCACAATGTCAATTTCTCACACCCTTTTTTCGTCTTCCTGTTTCCTTGCTGGTGTTGCACCGCTGGCTTTAGGTTGACGAAATGAGGAGGAAGCGATAACGGTTTGTTTACCCTTACGTCAAGCAACAGAAGAACTTGTCTTTACACACAAACACCGGCGCCATTACGGAGAGGTCACTCAGTGCGAAAGACTCATCTGGCGATTACCTCAGGCTCAATGCCAGTGCATTTCAATTATTTATCCGCCGTTATCATAAGATTATTGGTTATTTCATGACAGGGACATTACTTCATAGCGGTAACGTCAGACTATGGCATCAATGCAAACAAATGCATTAATGAAACAAATGTAAAGTAATGTTTTACTCAATGAGAATTCGACATTATATCACGTAGTTTGTACTTTTCACGGTTTTGAGCATTTTTGGTTCAACTGTAATTTAAATATTGAGAAAAGACGGAAGATATGTGACATGCTTTTATAACATTTTATCAGCTAATGTTTTATGGTGAAATAAAAGTTCACACTTTTTTTAATATGAAATCATTTTCACAGAAAACTGACTAATCGTAGAAATAAATCACAGCAAATCCTCTTGATGTCATTTTGACGTCGTATTCTTAAGGCTCAGGGAAAGTTGTTCGATTCAATTAATGATAAACTACATGTACGTCATTCCAATAACGTAGTCGCACCTTAACACAAATACAGAGGATATTTAATGCCAGCAATATATATTTATATGATAATCACCAGGAAGACAATTGTGTCATTTTAGAACAATCTACAAGAATGAAAATGTTAATATCCATGAAGAGTAAAAACTGATCGAAAAGTCAATGGGTATATCGTTTGGTCAGATGTACGTTTTCCAAAAAAACAAATAACGTGAAATGCAGGCTGATCATATCAAATATATTTATTAAAGGACGTAAATGCGGACTGATCAGATAAAATAAGAAACTTAATGATCATTGGTAGCGCAATACAAGTGTAGACAAATGTACCATTGACGGATTGATATTTCTCTATCTTTCGTACACAAATCGTTTGTAAGTTGACAACATTAGGTATGACCTTGTATGTTAAGTGTGTCGTGATTTCATACACTGCTTTTTTACTCGTAGATTCTTACAAAGAACGTCGTTGTTCAAAAATTGCTTTTAAAACTTTGCGCAAGTCAGTAACCGTCACCGTTTCACTTCGATATAAACAATACGTTGTCAAAGAAAGCTGATAAAACTACCTTTTAAGCTACTTTTCCGAGAAAAATAAATATATTGCTTGTATGTTCTTTTCTACTTTATTTGCTCTTCTGAGATACAGATAACACCAATCAATCACTACATGACAGGTCGTGTGTCTAAGGGAAATATATGGTTGTTTCAATCACGAGCATCTGAAGAAACATGCTTAAAGTTGTTAAATTATCAATATGAAACAATGTATATCAGTTTTATACACATCATTAACGGATTTAGCGAAATTAATTACCAAACATGAACATACATTTTGTTTTCCCATACATGTCGTGTAATCAATTTACTGTTATTCTGTAAAAAGATGTTTTATGAAGTCAAGCAATGCTAATTTTGATAGGATATTTACAGCATTTTTGTCATTATAATATTTATGAGACGAAGTTAATAACTACAGGGAATCGATAGGCACGTGGCAGTCTGTTTATCAGTAAAGTCTCGTTAGGGTATCGCGCTGTTTAATTAACAGAGTTGTAAAGATATTTCTCCTCTTTATGTTAAAGTGATTCATCACTACACATATACATATTTACATCTATAAATGCAGCTTCCCCCCCTTATTTAAGTGTGCTGGCAGTACTCTGTGGTTAACTATGATCAAATATACACTGATACACCGATTGAATCTCACAGTATACATAATCCTTAAATGGTCAGTTTATAATATAAATACACATATTTAAGAACAGATTCTTTAAATAGTCCGTTTATAATATAAATATACATATTTAATTATGGATTCTTTAAATGGTCAGCTTATAATATAAATATATACAGCTTTATGTACTGATTCTTTAAATGGTCAGTTTATAATATAAATGTACATATTTATGTGCAGTTTCTTTAAATGGTCAGTTTATAAAATAAATAAAATGCATATATATTTATTTACAGTTTCTTTAAATGGTCAGTTTATAATATAAATATACAAATTTATGAACAGATTCTTTAAATGGTCCGTTTATAATATAAATATACATATTTATGTATAGATTCTATAAATGGTCATATATAATAAAAATATATACAGCTTTATGTACTGATTCTTTAAATGGTCAGTTTATAACATAAATAAAATGTATACATATTGATGTACAGTTTCTTTAAATGGTCAGTTTATAACATAAATAAAATGTATACATATTTATGTACAGTTTCTTTAAATGGTCAGTTTATAATAGAAATATACATATTTATGTACAGTTTCTTTAAATGGTCCGTTTATAATAGAAATATACATATTTATGTACAGTTTCTTTAAATGGTCAGTTTATAATGTAAATGTACATATTTATGTACAGTTTCTTTAAATGGTCAGTTTATAATATAAATATACATATTGATGAACAGATTCCTTAAATGATCAGTTTATAATATAAATAAAATGTATACATATTTATGTACAGATTCGTTAAATGGTCAGTTTATAATATAAATATACATATTTATGTACAGATTCTTTAAATGGTCAGTTTATAATATAAATATACATATTGATGAACAGATTCTTTAAATGATCAGTTTATAATATAGATAAAATGTATACATATTTATGTATAGATTCTTTAAATGGTCAGTTTATAATATGAATATACATATTTATGCATAGATTCTTTAAATGGTCAGTTTATAATAGAAATAGACAGATTTAGGATGATTTTCTAGATGGTTAGTCGTTACAATATTCGCTAATAATGCCTTTGCCCATTTCCCCAGATCTCTGGGTTTGCATTGTAAGAAAATGTTTTTTAATTTCTGTCAAGTCATGCCTACCTGAACAAAAGACAATATTACGATCATTAGCACCATCGCTAAGTTTGTATCTGCACATGTCTGTATCTAGATTTAATTTATCTCGTTTCAGAACTCCGTTTACGTTTCCGAGGCTACGCATTGGTCCATTGGACAGAACGCCACTCAAATGGTCAAGGCAAGAGTAAGCGTACAGTGACCAAACATTACTCTGGCGAGGAACTATACTTTGACCATACGGTCGTACTATTTGGTAAGTGTACAGGATTGGTTATCGGGCTTAATCAGAACAACTGGGGAAATGGTCGAGCTATCGTGGTAGCGACACCAAATATTTCATGCATGAATAATTTTCTATATAGATTATGTACTAATCATGGGGTATTTTTTTTCATTGTTTTGTCCCATAGCAGCAGTTGACAATCCGTCGTTCGAAGTTTAGTTATATTTATGTACGCTTTGGGAATTGATGGCTTTGTAGCAATTAACAAACCCAACAAACCCAAGGAGGTCCTAACTTAAAATTAACGAGCGAAAAGCGCGGGAAAACAATATTATTATATTCAACGTCAAAGAGGTTGAATCTGAAAATGCGGAAGCAAGGAAACATGAGGACGAATCATTTGTGAAACGCCTATGTAACATTATGAAAACTAACGAGAATAACGAAGCAAAGGTCATGAGACTTGGCGCCAGGGCACAAAAGGAGACCAGGAACAAGAAACGCGAGACCAGTACAAATAATATTTAAGGATCATCAAGCCAAAAACATGTTCATGAGCAATTTAGGAAACCTCGCCGTTGAAACCGACGAAATTATCAAGATCATTAGTGTCGCTCATGACATGACACAGGAGGAGAGAAAGACACTAAAGGGGAGAGTTAAAGAGGCAAAAACGCGCAGAGAAAAGTCGGGGGAATGGAAATATGTTGTCCGCGGCCCACCCTGGGACATGCGCACAATAAAATTGAAAAAAATACGAAAAGATTAGATTCACGTGACAAAAGAGTATGTACTTCATTAAGCATTCTTTTCACTAATGCAGATACTTTAACCCAGTATAAGTTACAAGAATTAAAAAATTTGGTAATGCGAGATAACCCAGATGTAACAGCCATTTCTGAAGTAAAACCAAAGAACTTAAAAAGTAAGATTGAACTATCTGAATATGATATAGAAGGGTATGACACAATACCCCTTAATATCTTAAAAGATTTGCCATGAAGAGGTATGATCATGTACATAAAGGAAAGTCTTAAATATTCCCAAATTACCTTCAACAATATTGTATTTGATGAGCTTATCTTGTGTGAAGTAGAAATGAACGCCAAGGAAAAAATACTTGTTGGTTCTCTATACAGAAGCCCAAACGCGTCGGAAGAAAATTTCAAAACTTTGTGTGAAGTACTTTTGTAATCGACAAAAAGGAAATATAACTTCAAAGTATTGTTTGGAGACTTAAACTTACCAGGAATTGACTGGTCTACTTGTAATACAAAATGCAGCGAAGCTTCGATAGAGTTCGAATTCATAGATACCGTACGAGAATGATACATCAACTGTGATGCAACCTACCGGCGGGAGGGGAACGAATAATCCAAGCGTTATAGATTTAATTTTAACGGATAAAGATGATTGCATTGAAGCCGTTCAACTCAATCCTCCTCTAGGCAAAAGTGAGCATTCAGTTATTGATATACGCTGCAATTTTAGCGTTGAAATAAGGACTTCAAGAAAAACACGATATTTATACGATTAAGGAAATTTTCAAGAACTGCCTCGGAAACTGAATATAAACTGGCAAGATCGTTTTTCGGAGTGCAAGAATGATGTAGAATAACAATGGTCATATTTTAAAGCAGTATTTGAAGATTCAATCAAGGACACTATTCCAGCACAGCAAACAAAGCCCCGCGAAAATACAACGACCGCAAAACCCGTCTAGATATAAAAGACTTTGTCTAAAGCTAAAAGAAAGGCTAGATTATGAAACAAGTACCTGAGCACCCGTGATCATGAAGTCTATATAGAATATTGTCAAGTAAGGAATCAAGTTAGGACACTGACAAGGAAGGCTGTACAACTTCATGAGATGCAGATAGCACACCAAGTGAAAGAGAATCCTAAAAAGTTCTGGATATACGCAAAATCTAAAACAACGACGAAATCTAATATTTCAAATGTGTATTAAAACTAAAACAAGTAGATAATGAAAAAGCCAGTGTACTCGCGGATCTTTTTAAAACAGTGTTTTCCCCAGAAAACGTACAAAAGAAAATGATGGAATTGAAAATTTCAAAATCTCCAGGACCGGATATGATCAATCATAGAGTTCTAAAAGAAACGTGTGATATTATATGCCGTCCGTAATCATTAATATTTCAAACATCTATCGACACTGGGAAATTACCTGAGGACTGGAAATGTGCTGACATAACGGCAATATTAAAAAAAGGAGACCGAAGGAGGCTTCAAACTATAGACCAGTAGCCTGACAAGCGTTGTCTGTAAGACACTGGAGTCATTAATTAGGGATGAAGTTATGAGCCACATGAGGAGAAATAAGCTATTCAGTAAAGCTCAGTTTGGTTTCGTAGATGGCAGATCAACGGTTCTGCAGCTTCTCAATGTCATGGATAGATAGACAAATATTTGGGATAAAGGTGCATGCGTGGGTGTCATATACTGTGATTTTATGAAAGCGTTTGATAAAGTACCTCATCATCAACTCGTACATAAACTCGCGAAATATGGTATTACTGGTCCATTTTCCTCTTGGATAGAAGCCTTTTTGCTTGGAATGAAACAAAGGGTCGTAGTGAATGGCGAAAAGTCGTACCGAATCCAGTTAATATAAGCGGTATACCACAAGGATCTGTGTTGGGACCACTTCTCTTTGTATTATATGTAAATGATATGCCCGATGTAGCAAGCGCGGGAACAGGCACTATGTGGAATAGCCTTCCATTTATTGTTGTAAATGCGATTTCAGTTAGATAATTTGAGTACGAAGAAAAATCAGTCACAAAAGTATTGTTTCAAAGAAAAAATCAATCTGTTAACTTTTAAATCATAATTTAGTATACTACGAGCTGGCTATCGAAGGATCGTTAATCCTGTACATATTTCATGTACATATATATAATTCAAAATTCGTCGACAAAAACTTTATTTTTTTTTTCGATTATTTATGTTCGTCTTTAGGAAATTATTTCAAGCCGCATTATATGTTTCTTGCCTTTTAGTTCTAATGTTTTCAAAAAACAGGTATTTCAGCTTTATCTAACTGACTAATCTAGCTAGGCTTTAATTTAAAGAGTCCAGTTGTTTCAAGATTCATTAATGTTTGAAAGGTTTGAAAAATATTTTTGATATATGGAGCCCTTTATCTCACGCTTCAGTGCCTTAGTGACAAATTAGCCGGCTGTGTTGATCGCAACGATTTAAAACTAAGGGTCATCCCTGTGGGCTTATCTTCTCGGGATTAGTTCCAATACTAGAACACTGATATTTTTGTATACTAAATGTGAGTCATTGCATACATATCTGATGTTTTAACGTTATGTTTATTTATCGTCACGCTAATGAAGCCAGCATGACGGCCACTAAACAGTCTAGATAAGATCGCCAATACACTCAGCCAGCATTTACATATTTACAGAGCGTACTTAACTTATGAATTATGCATAAGCTGCGTACTTATTGAATCGGTCATGTGCATACCAGTCAGTATTAGAGGTAGCATGGTATCATACATAACCCCAAATGGTCACAGTTAGTACATTTACATAGCAGGCTAGATAGCAATTGAATGAAACTCAAAGAATAGATAATCGATATGGTCGGAATTACAACAGGTCCAACTGTCATCAGTCAATTCTACCTCTCTAAGATAGCAAGTGACGATAAGATTTACGAGTATGAATAGAAAAAGAATAAATGTTGCAATTGTTTGTTTAAAGTACAGACACGCATGGTTTAGTATCTAGGCACCAGCAAATATTATGTACTGTAATAGGATAGTTGCTCGAAATCAATTATCGCATCCAATTATTGGGGAGGCCGTTTAACTGCAATATCAACAATGACGTATAATATGTTCTTTCATCTTCGACGAATCAGAAAAAGTGTATATGCGTTTAGTTTTCACGGTAAGTGACCCAAACAATGCAGAATGATAACATAGTTTTATAATGGCAGGGATTGTGCCCCTGAACAATAGCCACATGGCAGAAGCACTCTATTAATACGGCTTTAATCGATCTCTGTCAATATTCCAGTACATTTTTCACTACCGGTAATTTAATCCATTAATTTTTTTATTACCATTTGTAAATGCATAAAGTGAAAATAAACAATCCAGTAGGATATGCTTACAGCGTTTCAAAGGTACGTTGATGACAATTCGATGCCGGGGAGGCGGTGTTTGTTTACATCCAGGACTACAACCGGATGTAAACAGTTGTCTCAGCGCATGCCATCAGCACAGGGGCACGTTACAAATGTCTGAAATACACACATATGCTATACTGATATGGGTCACAACACACATAAACATACACAAAGGAAGAATCTTCGTCAGAGCACTACCGGTACTTTACTTTACTTTACCGGAGCATTATTTCACATTTACATAGTCCAATATTTTGATACGTAAAATGCAATACGTACCAGGACACGATGCGAGACATGATGTTATAAACATTGCGCCAATTTTTTTTTTGCTGCCGGACTTGACTCTACTCGGGGGGGCCTTGGGACTTTCTCGTCATTTCCGGGTCAGGTTCAAGTTAATCATGGCGGTAAAACTGCAAATTCCCCGAAAATTGATCATGATGGATTACTTAGTTACACTTCAAACCGAAGCTATCGCCGCAGATCGCTGGAAAAAATAACAAAAGTAAGTGTTGAAAATCTTCATTTGAAATTTGGCGGTACCGGTAGTGCTCTGACGAAGCTTCTTCCCTTGTGTATGTTTATGTGTATTGTGACCCATATCAGTGTAGCATATGTGTATATTTCAGATATTTGTAACGTGCATCTGTGCCACCAGTGACCTTGTATAATCGTATTGTAAACAGCATTAGATTCTAACTCTGATTTACACAAATATTGCCTCACTAATCATATTTAGATATGAAATCTGAGTTACGCTAGCATCATGAAATCAATAAATTGTGTATAGCCACTGGTTCTGTGAATAAAGACCTGATAGTTATGGACAATATCTACATGTATCTCGATCATGCATTCAAAACATTTTATTGAACCTTCGACAGCATAGGTATGTGACTTTGTAATCAGATTCAGGTAGATAATAGAATCTCGTTAAGGTTATGAATATTTCGCAGTGTAGTGTAGTAATCTGCATACATTGGACGTGGTCGATCGAAGACGTAGCTAACCCATTACGTTTACAAGGGTGTGGTTTTTGTGATTGATGTTACAGATAATACATTACGGTTTCATGAGCCCTGTTTGATATGATGTAAGAAATATGTGTTTAATGCTTTATAATTTACTGCATTGAACATTTTTCAAAATATTTGTTATTCGCATGAAACATCAAGCTTATAGTGAAAGTTCGAAAATAATAATTAACATATAAACTTAACCCGACGGCATATATCTGTCTGTTGTTCTGATACCACTCGAGACTATTTTTTTGCAGCCTTGTTATCCGTCAGAGTGATCATCTTCGGATTTAAAACAGACTTTTGTAAAAAAAAATCATTATTATATCTTCATATGTTCAGCTAATTATTTTGGACCGTACAATTTGTCGCTAGCATAATAATCTTTTGTAATTTGTAGATACATTGATATCTTTTATGATTCCATTTAACTAAGATAACAAAGCCAAGTTGCTAGGGTCCAGTTATATCTAGTGTGATGTAGCTACGTAATGAGATACAGATGGAAAAAGAATCGCGTTAAGATCATGAATATTTTTCAGTGTAATACATTATTCTGCATACATATGTCACGCCTGAAGAGGTTTGTTTGTTTATGGTTCACGCCTTCACAACAGCTAAGTTCATATGCAATGGTGCTCAACTATGATGACACCATTAAAATGCCACTCTAAAGTGTCATATACCCGTCATGTCGAATTGGTAAGATAGAAAGGAATGGAGCAAGGTTGAAAGCAAGTTATTGAGACAACATGTTGAGAACATGTTGAGACAACATGTCGATTTAGGTTACACGTAATCCAAAGCAGATGACAGGTGGTTGGGTGGCGCAGTGGATAGCGCACTTGCCTTTCACAAAGGCGGCCGGGGTGCAATTCACCGATTATACGTGAATAGGTATGGGGTCACCTGCCCAATCACTTGGGTTTTCTGCGGGTACTCCGGTTTCCTCCCACATAAAGACCCCCGCGCGCTAAAATCCGGGCCAACAATAGTGATTAATATAAGTTGAAATAACTTATTTCATAATTGTTGTTATATTAAAATAAGGTTTATATAGCAGAATACACAAAGGAAACACCACTATTCTCCAATTTTTCCAACATTAGTCACTTCATGTTAAAACGAAGTTGGATATATCGGGTTCGTTCTTTCTCAAAATTGCACAGGTACCTTTTTATGAGCCATGTTTGGTACGATGATGTGTCCATTGTTTTATCATTCATTCTATCGAACAATTTTGAAACTTCTTATGTTAACACATCAGTAGACACAGACAACGTTCAAAAAAACAATTACCACAAGAAGCATCGAACTATTCCACCTTTACCCAGTACCAAGCAGGTTTTTGGTCCGGGCGCCTCACATCCTTCATAGCGTATACACGTTTTAAGAATTTTAGCATATTGTCTACTATTGGTGGCCATTCGCATTTAATTGTACTTGAACAGAAGCATATCACTGTTGTTGATTTTGGTTTCATGTCTTAAGAGCTAAATAGCTGAACTTTTGTTCTTGTACTATCTGAACTAAAAAGCTGCTCACTTGAATATATGTTTCCTTTGAAAATAAAAAGGCTAGCACTCTTTGCAATAACGCTATTAATAGGAACAACGCTAACATCAACGCAAGAGGCATATCAATGAACGACAAAAATGTAATATGGGGAAATTCATGAAGTCCAGCAATTTAACATGCCGCTTAATGAGCAACATGAAATATGGAAGCAGTAATGTAATCCAGTGATAGAATGCAACCTATCAAGGATACTTTTTAGATGATCCTGTAGAAATACAAATAATGTGAATGTTTGTAGGTAACTCCATAACATACATAACATTAATATGAATTACAAGTGTAGTAAAATGTACCGTATCTCGTTCAACAGACTTTTTGTAAATAATCGCTTTTTACAGTTTATTCGAATCAGAGACTATAATATAAGGAAGTATGTGGATATTTGATGTTTATTACCTTAGCTATAAGGTCAGATTAACTAATTGTGGATGTCATTTCTAGTTCACTTCGGTTACAATTTCGTTCATGCAAGTGGCGTCCAATTAAATGGCAAATAAATTGCTAAATGCTTAAAAAACATAAGAGATGAAGAACACAGTGTACTTACAATATCTGTGAACTCTCGTGCAAAATCAAAGCCTTTTGAATGTTCATGCTATTTAAACTTTCGAACTCTCAGTGCAGGCTTGCTGCTTCTTGCGTTCTTGTTCTATGACTGTTTTAAAAAAATATTCTATTCGTAGAATAATAAAGCAATATACCCCACCTTTCCCATCATGTCAACTAGGGCTCATCAACTTTAACGAATTGCTACAACTCGTTACCTGGTTTACAGCACGCATGTGTTTTGTTTGTTTAGCCTGTTGTCAAGTTTTAAATAGTGTGCCGTACGACTTATGTATGATAATGACTTGATTGGTAGAAAAATAACTGTACTCTGCCTTAATCGTACAACATAGCATTCTGTGAGAAACAACAAGATATCCGCTGAATTCTATTAAAAACTTGCCTTTTTGATATCGGAGTCTATCTTCCCTAAATATCTGTGCAAATGCACGAGATTCCAAAATTAACTACAATCTGTGCATGCTATGGAGGTCATTTGCAGATTGACCTTTGCATGTGCAGGTGATTTGGCAGGCATGTGTATTGGTGACCGTATTTTTTGTTCATTAAATATCATAGTAAGGAACTCTTTTGGACTGACCAATATTTATATCACAGTTTCGATGCCGATATTGTTAACGCACTGACTTAGTGACTTGTAGGGTGTCATTTTAATTACTGTTTTTCTTTTCAGCGTCCAGTGGTAATCAGTACGAGACAATCGCAGAAGGACAGCACAAATTTCCGTTTGAGTTCCAGGTGCCTTCCTCGTGTCCAACGTCGTATGAGGGCACGTGTGGACGCGTCAGGTACGAAGCTGTGGCTACAATCGAAAGGATGTTTGGTGTCGGTCATTCTACAATCAGTGGTTTCACCGTGATAAGTCATATTGATTTAAATGAAGATCCCCGTGTACGGGTAAGAATTTCTTGTCAAAAAAACTCATAAACACAGGTATAATCATGTTTTGACCGATGTTCATAATGGGATTCGCTAAGACATCGCATTCACTACTATAATTTTTGTCCATATCATATCAATCAATATATATACTAGGTAAACGAACGTCGCATAACCGGTAAGCCTATCTAATTAACGCCTATTTGACGCTGCATCAGACATGTCAAATTTATTGTGTAAACTGGTTTCAGTGTACATACATTTATTGATAGAGCGCTGAGGTTCAAGAACATTTAAAGCAAGGACACAAAACCATTCGATCTGCATTTTAACTGTGCACGACGTGCATTTTCATTTCGTGAAGCACTAATTCCTGTTGCTATTACACCGCAATTAACTACTAGCAGACCGTAGCCAATCCCGTGTTATGATAATACATGTAGCTATAAAGATATTGCGATTAAGTAGAAATCGTTAAGGCGACAGTTGATGTGTTTCCCTCACCCTTGAATCATATGTTCCTGTGGTTCGTGATACCGGTGTTGAAACAAACTAAACCAGCTCATCGGTTGCAACAGGAAGTATCCACTCCTGTCAACGTCCGGTCGGTCAGGAAGTTCAATCTGTCACGCCATTTTCTCATATCATTGGTCTTGCTAGTTTTATCGTCCTACACAAATCAATATCTCTACAATATATAGATCGTGTTATTATTGACGGTAACTAATGAATGAAGGTCAGCATAACTTGTCAATGGGGATGTCTGCGCAATGTTCACATATAAATTGTCTTGACGCAAGCTTTCACTACTTCATAAAGGTTATTTGAGAAAATAAAAGCATTTTTTCTTTAAACTCATCCGAATTGCTACCTAACTTTAACGATAAAGTCTCCTTTATTGGAATGTCAGTATATGTACGTTAACGTTTATTGTTTTTCACTCAATATTTCATCAAATTATGACACATTACAATGATCAGCTCATTGTAAATGACAGTTACGAATCTTGATTTCTTTTACCTATGTGATACATGTTATCAAACATAAAACAATAGGATAAGAAAATACATCATACCATGAATGCTACATTACACTTTTACCTATATATTCTATACAACTCACTTGTTCTGTGTTGTCTTGCCAGGAGAGCACTACTGCGGAGAATGAAATGTCCCTGTGTTGTTTGTGCTGTAAGTCTGGACCTATCGCTGCCTCTCTCTTTCTGGACAGTGTTGGCTTTGTTCCGGGGCAGGGGATTCCTATCCGAGCGGAAGTATCCAATGGTAGCAGAAGAAAGATTGCGCATATGACAGCATCACTTCAGATGGTAGTGGTCATTAGATGTTGTATTGATACTGGTACCTTTCTTTGAGACATTTAGACCAACTATAGAGTTAAACGATCTAAGAAATATTTATCGACCGTTTATATACTAGACAGTGAATGTATGAGGAACAACTTTAAAGACTTTGGATGGATGGGTGAGTGGATGGATGGATGGATGGACTTATTTTTATTTTTGACTTATTTATTTATTAACTTATCTGTTTTGAGTCTGGTAGTTAAATGACTCATTTGTTCGAGGTATAACACATATCGGTCTTACCTGTTTGGGGGAAATGAGGAAATTGTCTCCTCTGTTCGAGGTAGTGGATGATTTTACTCATTTGTTCGAGTTATGAGTTGTATCTGACTCACCGAATGGGATTGGGTTGGGAATATTGTATCATCTGTTAGACTTAGAAGACGACTTGACTCATTAAGGGAGTCTGACTCGCTTGTTTTAGCTAGGAGATGTAATTGTGGGTTTAGAAAGGTAATTTATGTATATCAAGAAAGTGGGAGTATTTATTTCATTCATTTGAGTTAAGAAAAAACGTGATTGTTGCCTCTGTGCTAGTATTTAAATATCAACACTATAATCAACATGTTGGAAAAACATCTTTCTGCAAAATTTTATGTGTATTTATTCAACAATTTACATGTGATAATAAGCGTATCACAAGTGTGTCCTAACTCCTCAATAAATGGATATGAAGCTTAGTTTACACATAATATGACATGGACCTTAATTACAAAACTTCAGAAAGTAACGTTTTGATGTTCAATTTTACAATTCATAGTTTTTTGATCAAGTCAAATTGACATCCAATTTTGGAAACTCATGAAAATGCAAACAACTGGTTTAGAGATCGCAAATTCGAGGAGCAGATCACCTCTTTTGAAAAAATGTGAAAGAAATGTATATATTTTTTCTGTGGTCAAATCTTATTTTTAAGATGCAAGATGTGTTTATTTTGAATCAGATAGTCAAGTATAACGCCGTAAAGAAGGTCCGAACTCACTGCAACATCATCGCCTCTATCACAAAAAACGACTTCGCCTCGGCTGGTTCCAAATTGGTCACATGGTCGGGCGACAAGCTCGTGGTACCCGTTGTCCCTCCCTCTTTTGTGTCCGGCTGCCACATCATCGATATTAGTTATGTTTTAGAGGTGAGTTTATGTTATAAATACCAATGTTGAATACAAATAGGGTAAATATGCATGTGCATGTTGTAATGACGTCAGACACCGGATACAAATTTGACGTTTATAGCAATAGTCACGACGAGACAACGAAATAAACAGAAAATTAAACAGCATTAACTCCAATACCTTACTTAAGGCGAAAGTGTAAAAATAGAATAAGATTTCACGACATTGTAAGACAGAACATTTACTCCTCACACATTGGCACTTATACATATATTTTAATGTTTGCATTTCTAATCCTGGCAGCTGATAGTCAACCCTGCTGGACCTTCCTTTAACCTACCGGTTAAAATGGAGGTTATAGTTGGAACTAAACCTCTTAGGATATCTAACATACCGCACTCCCAAATACCGGACCCTATTGGGATCGAAGAAGAAAAATATTTGGAGAAAAACAGGGCACCTCCCTCCCAGAAGCGCAGAAGTCTTGATCATCCCAATGCCGGAAAGTCCATGGATGAGTTATGCACGAAAGACAATGAGCGTAGGTAGACTACAAACATGCCGTGACACCATCATTTATCTAGAGATCAATCACTGATATTGATATAATAGGTTTTAGTAGATTCAGCTTACTTAATTCAATATTCTCCCATTTTAATTTTTTAAATTAATTCCAAAATTGAATCATAAGGTGATGATAACGTAGAATTAGTAGCTTTAAAACAAAAACGATATCAAAATACTTATTTCTGATTCCCATATCATAGAGAGGAACCAATCTAAAGATATTGACATATTTGTCACAAGTGATTTCCTGTTACGGGCTTGCGCATGTCGATATTTCCAAAACATATAACAAGGGAGAAAACAGGACAACAATTTTTGTCCGCGCCATTATGCTTTTTCTTATCTATTGCAGCGGCCTCGACTTTCGAGGAGTGCATTCTGGGAGCTGCGGATCTTGTGGATGATGAAGAGTACGAGGAAATTCCAGGCCCCGTGACTTTCACGCCCATGTACCCACACTACAGCTTCACAGGCACTCAGTCACCATTCGACTCTGGTCTAAAGAAACAGTGATACATTGTATGCTACGACCACAAGATCTTTAGACCGTTTTCTCTATATAAAATAAAGAAAATCGGTAATACCGCACGTCACATCCGGTTCAGTGTAGCAACTTTGCGTAGAAGCTTGCTGTACACTGGAGACCAGCATTTCAGTTGTGTCCAGAAAATCTGCATTCGTATTGTGATATTGAACAGATAATTTGAAATAATAATAGTGTTAATAAATGGACAGCCATAATGTTTAGTCAAAGGCATTATTGTGAGGTCATGTGTGTGAATATTTCACAAGTAGTTAATACAATATCTTAATTAAACCACCGGTATATATAAATAGAATTGTACGCCACGATGCGTTCAAGCGTGCATACTCTAAAAGGATTTATTTCAGATATAAAGGATCTTACATGAGTGTTCATGTCATATTGAATTTATTGTAAGAGTTTAATAAATTCAATGTGATATGGACACGAATGTAAGATTATATTTATCATATAACGGTAATAGTTTCAAAAATCCGATCATTGTATTTGTTGTTCCGCGCTGTGCAGAGTAGTTCCAGATTAAAAACACAAAAGTGAACAATTTTAAATACAATGGATTTAAAAATAACAAAATTTCCTTTCAAATTGTCTATAATAATCAGGAAATGTATCGTTTATATAGTGAATTAATGTAGTACATGTAGTGGCGTAGAAATATGTTCCCAAAGTTTTGACCAATCGTAATACCTTAAGATTTGAATCACACGTGTGTAATACCATATTTATGACATGGCCGTATGACATAATAAAATGGGTCAGTTATATGATGAAATGATTTTATGATCCGAACAAACAATGCAATACGCAGTAGTATACATCTCTCTATCAAACAAGGATTTCAAGGTAAATCATTATTATTTTTCCAATTAGCAGTTATGCAAAACCGACCTTCGTGCACTGTGATATTCTAAAAGAAATCGCCGAAGGGGATAAGAAAAAAACACCATTAGTTTGTATCATTATAAGGGATATACATACACTACATGTAGAAAGATTAACTATCAGATATTATAAAATTCCATTAAAAAAGATAATTAGCATATCTATAGACGTTTTCATTATCTGCAAAACATTGTCATATTATATGATCATAATCAAAATTGGCTTTGCCGTGGTATATAATCATAATTTACGCCTTTTTCGTAATCGTGTATGGTTATTATCTACTTAAATTTTGTCATCGATCCATTTGATAACGTCTACCTGTCTTGGCTCAACACAAGATGTTATCTGATTAAACAAAATGGCTGACTGTTTATAGTTCGTACATTTTAGGAACGTATTAAAGTGTAGACATGTACTCTGCTGTAGAGTGAAACCATGACACTGCATGTATGCTATTCGGAGATATGTTTTGATATCATTTCTAATGTATCTGTACATGCTCGAAAGCAAAGTATCTCATAAAGCTGCATTGTAGGAACTGTATTTGTTCACATCTGCATCAGGAGATTTGACTGAGGTAGAAGAACAGGAATCACGATTGTCTGTAACAGGACTGGCACCGAAATTGCTCAAGAATGTATGTGTAAACATCTAGCTATAAAAAGCTTTGTTCTGTTGGATTCTTCTCATCGAATCATCAATAACTTGTTTATAATTTGAAATTAAAGTCTACTTGTTAACAACTTTGTGTCTCGACAGTTACTCCCTCACTACAAAACACTGTGACATTTACTTGTGGTAACAATCGCTAACGGTTTGCAAAAGAGGCCATACGATGTTTAGATGTTCATCTGACGTCACAAATATCATTCGTTTATTTCGTTAATTAATATACCTCACTAAGGTTAAAGCCCGTGGGAAATGTATCCATATGCACAATGCACTCGTCGGTCTGAGACGTCAAATGAGAGAAGCACTTAAGTGTGAGGCTGTTTGTACTGTCAGGGATCATTTATTTACACATAAATGTTATAAATGTTATTAAATCATTTTAATCCTATGCATTGCACTAATCATAATTAATATGCATATCTATTAAGAGAGGATTAGAAAATGATGACAATCGGCTGAGAGCGTTACTACATAGACATTTGTATTGACGTTATCACACACCGATGCAGTGTTTTCACCTCAGAATAAAATTTATAAATGATACCCCGCTGTTCTTTATTATCAATTAGAACTCCACGTTCATCAAGAGATATTATATGCTCATTGTTGTTATCTTGGATAAAAATATTTTGAGGCAATAAACAAGTACATCAAATCATCCGCATTTATAATGATACATGAAACAGTCGTAAAATCAATGGTTTATTTTTTTTAATGTAAATTAGAGTAAACAGTATTCCATCAAATATTCATTAGTTGATTGGAAAAATATCTAACACAAAACACTGTACCGTTCGTATTTGTTTTAATTGAAAATATTATGTGTAAATAATACATAATGATACGGTCGATAGAAAATATGTCCAACATTGGGTACAGGTAAGAGGAAGTGTAGGCAATACCTATCAAACAGCATACTTAACTGATTATAGAAAAACATAATGTAACACACACAATACAGTAACCTACTCCACAAATAATTGATAAAAGTGATTATGTGAACAAACTTTATGAATAAGGGATGTATCTTTCTCACATAAAGTTTGACGAATCAAAATGATGTCACTGAAATGAATCAGTACTGCATAAGTTAAAATACAGTATTTGGGGATAAAGCAAGACTCTGGTTCCCAAAAGACAGAAACGTTTTCCAAGACGAGGTCGAATATATTAGTCCTGATTGCTAGAGACTTGCTATGTCTCGCAATATGATAACAAGAACTATATACTGACTATTTATGTGTATCAGTGACTTATAACCATATGTCTTACATAAGGAATACACTAAAGTCATAGACACGTACAAAGGCTGACAACATAAACAACGCACGACAGATGGAGGTTGCTGTCTGTTTATGGAATCCACCCTAACTGTAACCTGAGCTGTCGAATTTTTGTTCAGGTTCTGTCCATTGTTTCTTATTTATATCCCCGGAAAGCAGTTTTAAAGACTGATGCACCAATTGTTCATGATTAGAAATTAAGATAAATTATATTAAAATCGAAAACACATCGCCACTTTCAAAACATGACACTGACAGGATGATTTTCTGTGACAATTTACATCATACTATTGCCTTCGAAAGCGCGACATTTGTCCGATTTAAAATAAGCAGCCAATCGTGACCGGGAACACATTCTGTCCTTGAAACTCTTCAAAGTTGGTATGTAGTCGGCATTATTCCAAGTGTCTGGGAACTGAGATTCTGTAGCCCTCAAAGCGTGCATTAAGCCAAGGTCCACATAGGTCAAATTTTTCCCAAAAACGAAGCTGTGTAATAGGAAAGAAAACACAAGTCAGTTGAATGTCTTAACCATTATTTAAGATCCGTTGCCATGTACAATAACATACAGACAGGATAAATGTTATTATTCTACTAAAAATCTCTCATTTTTTGTGTCATGGGTAATCTTTCGTGCATATTTACGGCATTTTCCGTTGGCTGAAAATTACCTCACCATTGACTTTGTGTTAAGCGTAAGCCAAAGTGAGGAAAGCGATGAGTTCTGTCCAAATGCCTGGGCATTCCAAAGTCCTTGTAAATGGTAGTTGTTCTTAACGTGCAGCATTAAGGGTAATTGCAGCAACTGGTTAATCCGTTTTCAGTATAACGTGTCCAGGCGGAACACTGTGTTGGGTGCCTTTGGGTGATTTTAGTGAGATAGCTTTCTAAAGTCGGCATCAGATCCACGATAATGCAAGGAGGCAAAGCCCCAACATACCGCCTTCAGCACACGTACATGCATACATTACACATGAAGACACATCATTAGCTGACCTTAGTTGTTCATAGGATATTAAATAAAACAAAACAAACCATTGGCTGAGGGAGTTGTTAAGTTAAATTCAGTAGCAATGGACTTTGTCCCAACACAACATTGATCCTTTGATACCTGACATTTTACATTGTATTTACTTTCATATGTGTGTTTTCCTTCCTCCGATATTTTCTATTGGGTGACGACTTTAAATAGCAGGTCTGTTATGTACCCATTCAATAGTTTCTGAAAATAGACGTATGTTAGGTCTTTGGGACGCCTACCCCTTTCCTCCGTCGTTGGCTAGTAACACATCCTCGAAATGTCTGAGCCACTTTGGAATTCTCTCGGCGACAAATCGTTCAATGTACGGTTTGGTTTCTTCTATCTGGTTGTAATAGGTCATGGAAGGGTTGACACCATGGAAACACAGTATTCCTGTATAAAATTGTGTTCATCATTTCATCATCAGAAATCAGAACATTGAAAAGCGTATATATTAACAAAAACACAGACGCCTAACCGCAATTTAAAATCAACATTTTTTTTAAGTAAAAGCGCTCCTGACCTCACACCCCCAAAGAAAAAGAGATATTCATTCAATCAAATCAAACGCGAGGTGTGAAAGAAACTAGACAACCTGAACTAGGGTGTATACAGTAATACAGAAAAGACTTCGTAAATGGACAGAAAGACCTGGGCCCGTATTCATGAAACAATTATCATGCTCAAGATTAGATTTTGCGCTCAAGCCTAATTTGTTGTTCCGGTTATAGATTAAAAAAATCTTTTTTGTCAAGGATTTGGAAATATTTGGAAGAGACTTAAAGCCAAATACTGTTTTCTTCAATGTTAACATATGACTTATTGGTTGTTTTATATAAACAGAAAGTCGGTTTGAGCATAATATCCATGCTTGAGCATGAAAAGGGTTTCATGAATACGGGTCAAGATGATTGCTACTATCGATGGGGGACCTCACTTAGCCCGGTATATCATTTCACTAAACGCTTACCATTTGATTTATGCAAACTGGCCCCGCTTGTATGAAACATTTTAACTCTGGAGTCTGGGATTCCCCATAGACAATACATTTCTTGAGATTTTCTTCAACTTTAAGATGTTTTATTCAAGTTGCCCCTGGTATTTATAAACTAGGGTTTTCACTTTTCTTAGTAGTGGTTTGAGCTACCACAATGTAAATACACGTAAACAGGACTGGACAAACACCGCAGAATGAAGAATAATAGAGACGACATTTGTACCCTCCGCAATGTAGTCGTGGATTGTCGTGTTGATCTGATCAGCATGCCACTCGTCTACCTCATTATCAGGGTACAACCCAAACTTCTTGCCCAGGTATTTGCATATAGTGGGTGTTTGAGAAAGATGGAAATCGCCTGTAACAATTAGAAAGAAAGAAAAAAGAATTGTTAGATGATTTTGGAGAATTCGGTAAAATGTAATATTTAGAAATTACTTCCTTAATTTTCGGTTATTTGAAGCAATCGTATTTGTTTCCAGGTGAAGGAATTAAAATTGACAAAGTCTAACAATGAGAGTGCTACATGTACATGTGAGGCAATCCTTTCTTGATGAATCGTAATCTCTATAAGGACAATGAGTACTCAATTAGAAATGGTAACATACGCATTATATAACACAGGAGGTTATAATACCGCAGTATTTAGGTGCTATTCAGCTCATCATCAAACTCATTCTGAGAACTTAGTCTAACAATTTACAAAGAACAGGACATATTACTCCTACTGTTATACAGAAAATAGTGATAGATACCGTTATACAGGAGAAATTACCACTTACCATTACATATGGCAGGTAGAAACATCACCGGGAATCCTCCTAGCTTCCCCTCCTTCCCCTTTTCGGCTACAACCTGCTTATCATCGGTATCTTTGAATTCAACACCCGCCTCCACAAATATTACTCGCACGAATTCACCCCTTCCGGCACAAGACCAGTACAGCAACTCCCAGTTGTCAGCCATTTTTGACGTTAAAACCTGAATCAATTTATTTATTTATTTTTCAAGGAAATAATGAAAAAAATGCCGCCATCTATTTTATAAATAACGTCAGTGCAACATAAAACATGAAAGCGTGCAAAACTGACATTCGACGTCATCAGAAAAGCCCTGAGAGTGACCGACAGAACAAATGTAAGAAATATTTATAATATCGTCATACAAGTGTTAGTATTTAGAGTATTTGATTTTACAGTATACTCCCACAGACTTTACAAAATCACCCTCTCGCAGTTCTATGCTTCACAACAGAATAGACATATGTTGTATGCTCTGATTTTTTACTTTGTTCTTATTTATTTTTTTATTTTTTTTCTGATTCTTGACTTCACACTCTACATTACATAATACACTAGATACAATTTATCAGTAGACGAGTCTTTTATATATGCAGAGTTCTAAATGTCTTAAAATGCCGTTTCTTCTCTTTAATACTTTGTGGTAGCATTACAGCAAAACTTGTCGCACCTTACCTGTATCTGTCCCGACTTGTACCCGTAATCTCAGGAGAATACCTGCCGGTAGAAATAATCATGTGAGTGCCGGCCTTAATTCTTGTAAATATGTACCGTTGTGATACCTACACAGATAAATTCCATCCAATACCTAATGCTACGTTACATACATACCTCACACATAAAGACGTCACAACATGCCTTCACACAGTTATGTTACAACATGCATGTACCTTTCCTTACGTAGTTGTTTTCCTCAAAACAAAATCAACAAATGTTGATTGATCTGATTCTTGACCATTGTTCTGATTCTTGACTTACGCTTATTTGCGTTATCTGCACCTCTGAAATATGTCGTGACAAAATCGAAGGCACCTGGCAGCTTTCTGACTGGATTCATGTATAAAACTTTACCAATCGTTTGACTAATACTTACCCTTCGACGAGTTCATAGGAACGATATTTGACTCCAAGGCTGGTCTATTTTACCTTGACGCTGTCACAAGTCTCTTTTGATGCACATCCAAGACTCAGACTAGGCTCCTTGTATCTTCAAAATGTTTGCGCTTTCTGAGACTACAGTTTTTTCATTTCATATTCCAGGGATGAAAAGAACTTAATGCAACTATAACAGGTAGCCTGGTGCAATCATGTGATGGATGCATTTTACATATTATTCAAATGAAGTCGGTATCAGATACCTTAATACAAACATACCAACACCAGCACGCATGCATACAATTGCACACGGAGGCATGTCCTTATATGTTATTAAAATACTAAACTCAAAACACCCAGCAAAACCACTCAATATCTAACATACCCTGTTAATATAACAGCAAATCCTCACACAGACATACCCTCACACAATATTGCACTTAATACACACATTCAAACGTTAGTGCCACCTCATGGTCATACACACCTGCGTTTCACGACAGAATGGACAAATGTTGCATGTTCTAATTTATGACCTCACACTCTATACAGTATGTAACATGCTATTTATCTGTAAATGTTTCCTGTGTGTGTTGTATAAATGTTGCATGTTCTTATTTATGACCTCACACTCTATACAGTATGTAACATGCTATTTATCTGTAAATGTTTCCTGTGTGTGTTGTACAAACATTTTAAACACATGCATATGTGCACAGATTTAAAAGTAAAATATGTCATTTATACCTGAAAACATATTGTAAGCAAACTGTTGCACATCTTACCTGTATCTGTATATTGGCCTGTCGGTACACGGTAAGAATGTTTGTCTATATAAAAGCCACATGTGTGTCGACTAAGTTTATCTCAAAATAAACCGAAGTCCCCGCCAAAGCACCGTCTGTTGATTGTTATACTGGTTTACATTACCAGTAAACTAAATCAAGAGAATTAAGTATGAACGATCGTGGTTCATAAGGATTTCCTTTATTATCAGGCTGACTCTTGAAAGTTGTAAATTGGCATATAAACGGTGTATATATATATCAAGCATAGAACACCCCACAATATGAAAAGATCGAACCTGAAAATCATTGTTGGTGGTGTACCGAAAGGTTAAATTGATAACGCGAGAATGTCCTATGCAATTGTTTTAACCAGAAGTTGATGAATTTTGATTCTAATTAACTAGCTGTTCACTGAGGCATCTACAATTTCAGAGTTGCCATATATTTGTATTGCGATGCATTGTTGACGCTGGTAAAATAGGTTAATTAGGGAGAGTTTAACAACGGATGAAACGTGAACAAATGGGTACTTCAATTTTGTTATATGCTGTTACTCACTTGACTATATCATGGTTTTACATGTTATAGTGGGTCATAAACGAAAACCCGTATCCAGTATGCAGTGAGTTGGAAATTTGATGTTCGCGTGGTGGAATTTAACGGCCACAATAATATCAGCAAAAATAATGTACCATGCCTTATACATAAAATGATTTTGTGTGCATTTCTATTCAGAGATATTGCTAGTAATTATGTAAAATTATTCGTAACGTATGCGGCAAATTCATGTCGTTCAGTATATACATATATATCCACTTCCTATCTATATGATAGAGTCTCACAAGTCAAATATGGTTAGAAATTGAATATAACAGATTTCTACTGTATGGATGTTGGTAAACACACGTAAAATGTTAATGACATATCATATCGCTTTTAATCAGTGTTGTTTATGTATCAAAACTTATAATGCTACAAGCACTAACTAATATTACATATTCGTGTAGCTATAGGGGAACATGAAATGGTCATTCAAATGTATATATTCAAGAAATACAAAATGTACATAAAGCGTATGGTAGCAGCTTGCTGTTATCATAAATGAAATTTCATTGAAAGACATGAAGTTAGACGCGGGCAAACGATGATTTTTATCAATATTAATAACGAAGCTGAAAACAAAACCGACTCTTCAAAATATTTGCACATGATTCTGATCTCAGTTACCTCCCCTCGTACTACATGTCAATGGTACTAAGCTTGTTACATTCTGTACACAATATTGGTACATTGTAAATGTGCAACCACCTCCAAAACTCCAGGTTCCTCCTCATATTACATGTAGTCTCAGAATCCCACACTGGGAACTAGAATTTTCTCCTCGGATTGAATGTATTTGACTCGGTGCATCTCAAAAAGTAAAAAAAAATATTAAATCTGAAAAGTAAAAACTTTGTACATTAATGTATACTTGGGGAGCTGTCTTAGAGATGTGTAACTGGGGATGGTTTTCAACCTGGCCTTTAAGCCTTCCAATGTTGATGCCTCCACTACTGATTCTGGTGCAAGATATTCTTCTAGTTTGTTACTCTGTCCTGTCTAGATCTTAGCATGACATGTGCTGTCATCAAGTTCTGCAATCACTTGCTGTGAACTATACTACTGGAACTGCTTTAACAGCCTGTAGATAAACAAGGTAGACAAGTGCTCGAATGTATGAAAACACAGTAACATATGTAATTGTTTATATCTATACATTGAATTGTCATATATTGAAATCAGCTTTTACAACATTTTGAATGTCAGAAGTATTTAATGCTCAGTGTATACAAAAAAAAGTGTAAGACATATGACCAAAATAATTTGCGAAACTTATTTTTAGTTCCGGAAACCTGTATCGCGGAAACGACATATTCCGCTCGTACTATTGTCTATTTTACGATAAATATACAGCAATAATTAGATGCACACTAGGTAATGGTAGCAAATATTTGTTCAATTTTAATTCTATATACCGACCGCATATACAGGAACTACACAACAAACAGTGAAATCAACCAAAAAACGTTTGGAATGGTGCGCTAGCATTGTGTACGGAAATGTAATTTCGTGTATAAAACCGGACCCGGAGGCGGTCCAAAGATATATCGATCCGGAATACGAATCGGAACTTCGAAATATTGAATTTTATGTAAGTTCCGAGCATAAATGCTATTTGATTTTAATGTATATCAAATATAAGTGTGGGGACACGATAAAGTATTATATTTTTGACGGTATGGATAATAATATGACATAATTTTGCCCTTTACGCATTAAAATAGGAATAGGCAAAATGGGATGGGGGAATGGAGTTCTAACTTCAAGTGAGCGAAATTGCAAAATTTTAACCGGGAACCCCACATTTGATTATGCTTACCGAAAATCATATATACTTGGCTGTCTTCTGTAAAAGTTTTATAAAATTGAGATGGGTTTTGATAGCATTTTTGCTTGTTTTAAATGCATTCGTTCGATGTAAATTTGTTAAAATTACATTTTGAAGAGAATAGATGGCCATGAAAAATGCATGAATATACCAAATATAATAATTTTTGTTTTATTTCTGCTTTTGATAGTACATCACGAGATGTGTAACAAATATTCAACTTTGTGGTAACTTAAGTTTTGCAAATATTATAGAAAACAAATTTTTACTTAATTTTCATATTTTGGGGGAAATTTGCAGAAAAGTAGCTACCTTACAGCTGAAATATCTCAAAAAGTAAGTCGAGAACCCCCTTTTTTTCTTTTCATATATGGAATCTACGTAAAACATGCAAGAAAATATGCCTAACTAGAAAAAAAAATGACATGGGTTTTTCCAAAAGGATGGACCCACCTTAAGCTCTGATATTCCGTAAAATGCTATGTAAAATACTAAAAACGAGAAAATGTATGTTCATTTTATGTATCTAATATGCCTTTCTTTCTGGTTCAGTACTGTGGTTAGTGGATGTGTTGACTATTTCATCGACAGCTGTGAAAATTCCATTTTCGTCAGTCGGGTGTAGTTTTAGTCCAGTGTTAGAACGACGAGACAGCGAATCAAACAAAAAGACACCAATAACTCCGAAAACATTACATGTAAAAAAAAAAGTCATGATTTCATTACATACTTAGACAGAACATACATAGATTTTATTGATTGCATTTCTAATCCTGGAAACTGATAGTCAACCCTGCTGGACCTTCCTTTAACCTACCGGTTAAAATGGAGGTTATAGTTGGAACTAAACCTCTTAGTATACCTAACATACTGCTCTCCCAAATACACGACATAAGGATCGCGAAAAACAAATATTTGGAGAAGTACGGGAGAGCTCCACCTGGAAAGTGCACAAGTCTTGATCATCCCAACACCGGAAAGTCCAGGGATGCTCGAAAGACAATGAGCTTAGGTAGACTACAAACATTCCTTGACACCATACATTTACCTAGAGATCAATCACGGCTATTGATATAATCGGTTATAGCAGATTCAGTTTACATATTTCAATATTCTATCATTTTCAGTAATGAAATTGATTCCAAAATTAAATCATAAGGCGATGTTAACATATGAAGCAATAACGATATCGAAAGTATTTATTTCTGATTTCCATATGATTGTATAAGTGTGTGAAAAAAAAGATATTGACATATTTATCACTACATATCTCCCTTTTTGAGCTTGCGCATTTCGATATTTCCAAAATATTCGACAAAGGAGAAACAAGACAAACGTTTTGTTTCCATCATTATGTTTCCTTTCTTATTGATTGCAGCGTCCATGGATTTTGAGGAGTGCATTCCTGCAGCCGCGGATCTTGTGGATGATGAAGAGTTCGAGGAAATTCCAGGTCCCGTGAATTTTACGCCCATGTACCCCCACTACAAGCTTCACTGGCACTTAGTCACCATTCGACTTTGGTCTCAAGAAACACTAATATGACCATGACCACAATATCTTTAGACCGTCTGCTCTCCATATAATAAAGTAAATCGGTGATAACGCATGTCACATCAGTTTCGGTGGAGCAACTTTGCGTAGAAGCTTGTTGTATACTGGTGACCAGCATTTCAGTTGCGTCCAGAAAACCTGCATTCGTTTTGTGATATTGAACAGATAATTTGAAATTCTAATCGTGTTAAAAGATGGAGAGCAATAATGTGTAATCGAAGGCATTACTGTGAGGTCACGTGTGTGTATATGTCACAAGTAGTTACAGTCTAGCGTGCATTCAAGCGTGCATACACTAAAATGATTTATCACAGATGATGAATCTATGATCCGCCAAGCATAAAGATGCAATACGCAGTAGGTAAAAAGCATACACCTCTCTATCAAACTAGGATTTCAAGATAAATCATTGGGTTTTTTCAATTAGCAGATATGCAAAACCGACCTTCGTGCATTGGGATATTCTAAAAGAAATCGCCCGAAGGGATAAGTAAAAAAAAAATTAATTTGTATCATTAGAAGGGATATACATACACTACATTAAAAAAGATGAACTTACAATCAGATATTATAAAATCCAATAAAGGATATTTTGCATATTTATAGACGTTTTCATTATCTGCAAAACATTGTCATATTATATGATCATAATCAAAATTGGCTTTGCCGTGGTATTAATCATACTTTACGCCTACTTTGTAATCGTTTATGGTTATTATCTACTTTAATTTTGTCATCGATCCATTTTATAACGTCTACCTGTCTTCACTCAATACAAGATGTTGTCTGACTAAACAAAATGGCTGACTGTTAATAGTTCGTACATTTTAGGAACGTATTAAAGTGTACACATGTACTATGCTGTAGAGTGAAACCATGACACTGCATGTATGCTATTCGGAGATATGTTTGATATCATTTCTAATGTACCTGTACATGCTCGAAAGCAAAGCAAGGTAAAGTTGGACAGTTATTCGTTATTCGGAATAACGAATAACTGTTTAACTTTACTTTCCGGGGGGCGAAAGTAAAGTTGGACAGTCATTCGTTATTCAAAATTTTACAGAAAAATGCTGTAAAACAG